CATTTCTTGATCTGCTATGTATAATTTGTCAGTAGGTTGTAGGAGTAATATGGTTCCCTCTGGTTTTCAAAACTAGCTAGGCATTGTTTATCTCTCACATTGTCTCACCCCTCCATCATGGTTTTCCCACTTAAGGTGCTCCCATTTCCTCCCTTTCTCCCTTAATAATACCCTTTTCCTCTGGTCCTACCTCTCTTGAGCTCCTTCTTTCCCTTTCTTTCAGATCTCTTTTAAAGCGTGTGTTTGTGGACTGGGGATATAACTTGCTGGTAGAATGCCTGCCTAGCATACATGAAGCTCTGAGTTCAATCCCCAACACTGAAAAAGAAAAGCGTCTATGTTGTAGTTTTAAATAATTTTGCCCACTTTTTTTTTTCTTTTAAATAAAAGATAAACCTCTACTTGAAAATGGAGAAAAAACCTAACAAAAAGGAGGAACTGACACTAGTGAATAATGTTTTAAAACTGGCTACTAAACTATTAAAGGTAAGAGAGGAATTGATATTGATACACTGTGGCCTGTGCTGTGATATTGTCTTAGTCTCTGTAGAAGCTACTTATATCTGACTGTCCTCATTATCCAAGTTGCTTCCAAATTACATTTGAGCATGTATTATAGTATCAGAAAACCTGGGTAATTATGCTTCTAATTCTACAAAAGGTAGTGTTCTTGTTAGTTTTTGCTGCAGCTCTTAGCCCAGAACATGCTCCCCATTCTCCTTATAGTAGTAGACCAGTGCTTTACTAGCTGTTCATTTGGAACAGAAATTGGAGCTTGAAAATTTATAGAATTATTTTAAAGAAAGTCACTTTTCCAGAAAAACAGTTAAACCTACTATTAAAATTTACTTATTTCAAGTTTAGCTGTTAGAAAGTTTATCCTTTCTACGTGTCCATAATTTATAACTTTTGTAACAGTGACTTTAAAAATCTCCATTGTATATTGGGGATTTAGTTTAACTGAAAACTTGTCTAATGGTTTTACTTCCTCTGCTAGGAATTGGACAGTCCCTTTAGGTTGTATGGACTCACCATGAACCCGCTGCTGTACAACATCACCCAGGTGGTCATCCTGTCGGCTGTTTCTGGTGTTATCAGTGACTTGCTTGGATTTAATTTAAAGGTAGGAGTCTGCAAGTGTGCTTTGTCTCTTAATACTTTGATATTTTTGTGATGCTTAATTTAGCCTATCATTCTTTTGAGATTTCACAGTCCTAGTAGTAGAGTCATTTTGGCTGGTCTGTATGCAATTAGTAACAGTGCTTTCACATTGAAATTCAGGGAATGACTATAGTCATGGCCTCTGATTCTGATTGCAATCCTGATGTGGAATAGAATTCTTTATAGGTAGGACTCTCTCATCTAGGACACGTGGAAGGAAGTATTTGTTTTTCATCTTATAAATTGAAGCTAATTTTGATGATTTAAAAAAAAAGCCATATTCCTTTGTTGGCCAAGAACTTATTTATATAGTAATGCATACATCTTCTAATACATACACAATGGTACATGCGGAAAGGGTAGAAAGATCATATTAAATAAATATTATGTATATATTGCCATTTCTCAGTAAAATAAAATGAGAAATGTGATTTTTACCTCTTTGTTTAAGGTAAGTTCCTAAAAAGAAAAGGATGAAGGAGTTAAAATATTCCAAGCTATGCTTGTAAATGGAATTTCAGGATACTGTGTGGTAGAATTTTGGTTTCTTTACTGAACCTGCCTCTGATGATCATTACTTGTATTATTTTTTCTCTAGCTATGGAAGATTAAATCATAACGGAGAGGAAAGATGTAGCCCTCTTCTCTAGAATGAGTGCTGACTTAGCTGCCTGGAGGCAGTCGCTGGCTCTGCCTCAGGAGTCTGCTGGGAAACTGAAGTGTTTACATCAGACTGTCTTGTGCAATTCTTATATTTATTTTCACTGTTTTTTTGTAACATTTATTTTAGTCTTTCTATTTTATTTTTAAGCATTGACATTCTTAGTTGTTGAAAGGGTGGCAGAACTGATATCCAGATACTTGAGATCCTGGTAATTGTTCATAAATTACTGACAAAGAACTTTTGAAAATAGAAGCCATTGCTGAGCACTGTTTCTCCATCAATGCCAGAGCTTGCCTTACCCGAGGAAAACTTCTTTAACTCTGGAATAGTGCATTGGACTCAAACACATACAGCATTTTCTTTGGTACATCAAGGTCCACTCAGGAGCTCTCTTGACATATTTCAGAGCAATGCTGGGATCTAAACTGATTAAGCTGCATTTAAAGCACCCTTCAGTATTAATACATATGGTATTATTGTAACAGGTCAACAAGTGCTCTTTGATGATAAAACTCTTAATGGAGCAATAATTGTAAATGGTTACCATACTGTAAGATATTTTGATAAAAATTAATTAGTAATAATTGTATTTATTTGAAACACTGAGCTGTTTGCACAGCTCCAACTGTGCATGCTCACAATGTGCACTTTTTAAAATTGTTACTTTTAATGTGTATCTTTATATGGGCTATGTTACAGTGTACTAGGGCATAATATGGTATCCTTTTGAGTGAGGTACATACTCATCTCACAAGTGAAGTGCCTATTGCTATTACTAAAGTACGTTATGTTTACTCAAGTAAAAGAATTTCCTCCCATGGTACACTATAGCGTATGCTATTCATACCACACTTTAGTACACAACTTAAGAATAAAGTTAAGAACCAGTAAAATACTTATCTGATCTCTAGTTATAAAATTTCCAATTTTTCTGAAAAGACAGCTTCAGCCTTCCAATTCTAGCCTCTAAATTTAATCTGGTGCACCCCCTCCCCCAGCTCCATTATATAAGGGCTATTTTAGATGCTTTTAAACATGGGACGTTAACTTCTCTCCCCTTCAATTATTTGTCAAGTATCCAGTGAGAACTTATCATGTTGGCATGCTAGGTAAATAGGCCAAATATGATAGTCTCTTACATTGGACTTTGATTTTAAGTTGTTATATATGTACAATCAGTAGTGTTTTAGGAATTACATGGACATTAAAAAGGGTTTTGTGATTTATTTTTAAAGCCAAACATCTGGTTTTTAAAACAAAGGATTTATTTGAAACAATCTAGAATTTTCTTGGTGCAAAGTCATATTGAATATCTTCATATTTTTTGCATATTTTAAAGAATTCAAAATAATTCATTGCAAATAATTTATTTGATTGGTGCAGTTCTAATTCCCAAATCATAATCTTAAAATCGGGAATGTATAGAGAACAGAGCCACGTGATACAACTTTGCTCTTACCATTCCTTTGACCAGCTTCAGTTCAACCTCATTGTGTAGTCTGTTTTTTGTTTGTTTTTTGGTTTTGTTTTGTTTTGGTTTGGTTTTTTTTGTATAGGAAACAGCAGACAGCATTCTGTTTTATTTGCCTATGTTCTAATGTTTAATAATGACCAAAGTGCATTCTGGGTCTTTTCAAGGAATGTATTACTGGAGCTTTAAGAACATACTTAGTTTCTCGTGAAAAATTAGGCTTTGTTTCTTCCTCTATTGTCTAATGTTGAGGTTGTTTTTAGAAACTATATTTTATAAACTTTTTCAAAATAAGGTACATACCTATACAGAACTTAACATTTTGCACAGAGTATATCAAATATATTTTGAGGGAAAAAAGTACAGCATGAGTTCTGTTAGGAATAAAAAGAGAAAATTATTGTATCTTACAAAAAAACTTATTTCAGAATGGAAATATTTTTGAGAAAAGTAGCTGAGTATACTGATTTAAGAAAATGCTTGCTTTAGGTTGAAGTTCAATGTAACATGGAGTTGGGAGTTGATTTATTAAGTACAGTGTACCTCTCAACAACTAATATGTTGAATTATGCCACTAATTGGGTAACAATAGAATACTAAAAGGAGAAGGTTTTAAGCAATTTCATAATGTTAACAGAATCATTTCAAAGTAGAAAATTAACATTGCTGCCTTTAAAAATACCATGAATGTAAGAAACTGAAATTGTTACATATCACACCATATAGAAAAGGCAGTTCAGAGCTAGAATTATGGCAGGTGTTGTGTGTTAACTGTAGTTTCTTTGCCACGTGTTGTTTTTGAAAGTTTGAACAGCAAGTTTAAAAATAAAACATTCTATGACTAACTGTTGTATGCACATTGCTTTAAGTTATATTTCTGTGGTGGTTTATCTTTACTATAGCATAAACTTTAGTTACGCCCTGTAGGTTTGGGGGCCAGGAAATAAACTTTTAAAAAATTCGCAACACTTCAAGTTTTGTTTTGAATCTGATAACATGATAGAATAACAGACCATTCAACAGAATGCTTTTACATTACTAATATTTGCTTGTTTGTATTTCAACACAGAAAACTGACTGTAGCCTGGAACATTGAAATAGTATCAGAAGAATAGTAATGTTTTAAACAGTTTTGCCACATGAGTTAACACCAAGAGATCATGGCCAACAAGAAGGTTAAACATTCTAATATTTCTGTTACCTGATTGATACAGGTGTTCATGGGGCTTAATCAGGAGTATTTGAGTATGCCTTTCAAATTTCCTTGAAGCTTAGAATTGGTTCTTCCAGTGACTCCTCTTCTCAGACCTTGAGAGTAGCAGTTTGACTAGGGCGTCTTCCTTTTGTTGTACTTTGAATATTTCTGCTCTCCTATGTAAAGAATACCAGAAAACCACAAATGCTCAACAGTGGCCCTTCTCACACCCTGTGGTTCCTGGGGAGTCTAGGAGACTCTTGGAAACAAGGAAACCTAGTGTGTCTCCTACTTTTGCATACCCCTCAACATAACACCCCAACACCACATTCCCATCAGACACCAGCTCAGAGTGTCACCCACTCGATCTGACACTAAACTTGGAAAAAGCAGCAGATTCCCCAGGTCAGGGGCACAGTCCCACAAGAATCCTCTCAGTTGAGAAGCCAAATCAAACTCCTTGTTAGGATTTCTGTTTCTGGTAAACAGAGTAGGGAGAATGAGCAGTTCAGGGAAAGTTTCTCAGAGGATATTACAGGTGGAACGATAGAAGAGGTGACAAGGATAAGGAGCAGTGACCATCCATGCCCTCCCTGGAGTGCACCCATACTCTAGGAACCTCCACCTCTTTGGCAACCCAGAAATTCTCTGAATTCTGCAGTTCAGAGATCCTGTGGGAGCATCACCACTTGATGATCTGCTGGGTCCATTGCTGGCTTCTTACCCTTTCTGGAACCAGGGTAGCACTAAAAGCTCTACGATTATCTGTAATCGTGGCCTAGTCATTTTGATAATCAGTCCCTCGTATGTGTATATGTACACACACACCCACACACACATAGATCTTACTTTAGAGTACAAATATATTTGCAAAAATGTATTCCTCAAATGATTTGGAAATTTTGTCCCTCCTGGTCACCCTTTTATCACCTTGAGAATTACTACCTTAAGATCAGGGATTTTATAGAATGTAAATTCCTTGAAAGCCTAATTGTATTCACTACCCTGTTTCCAGAACCCAAAATGATGTCTTGATGCCTAGAGGAATCTCAGTATACTTAATGAATGGATGAATGACTTAACTCATCTAGAGACCCCATTTTTCCAGATAAACAGGCCACAAAAGAGGTTAAGCTTGTCCAAGTTTGCACGGGTAGTGTTAGAACCCAAATTTCCCATAGTCCCATTACAGGGTATAAGTCTAATAGTATCTTTATAACATTTGGCACTTCTTGACTAATCAAAGTATTTAACCATAGGTGCTGGAGAGATGTCTCAGCAGTCAAGAGCACTGGCTGCTCTTGCAGAAGACCAGGGTTTTAATCCCAGCACCTACATGGTGACTAACAACTGTCAAGGAATCTGACACCCTTTTCTGGCCCCTGTGGGCACTTCACAACAAGAGTGCACTTACATACATGAAGACAATACATTAATACACACAAAAAATTAAAAGATATGTAACCATAGGAAAATATTCTGAGCACAAAGAAATTTAGTTACCTGTCTATATTTGTAGTGAGGTCATGTATATGTTTATATGTGTATGTATGTATATATGTATATACACATACATACACTACGGCAGTAGGAAAAAGACTTCATCATGCCATCTCCCTATTTGTTCTGACACTAGGGGAAACAGGTGGCACTGTATAAGTGGTCAGGCAGTGCTCCTCAGCAATGTTTCTTCCAGACAACTAAAGTGGAGAACATTGCTTCACAATCTTGAGCAAATTACTTCTGTGAGCTTTGGTTTTCTTTAAAAAAATTTTTTTTTAAGTTAGCGTACGAAGTGATGGGTCTCATTATGGCACTTTCATACAGATGTGTCATTCACTGCCCCTCCCCCACTGCCTTCCCAGGACCTTTGGTTTTCTCAGCTGTAGGTTACAGGCAGTAATAGCTGTCTTCAGCACTATTAGAAGGATTCATGAGAAGAGGTAAAACAGCTACGCAGGAGCTGACAGGTGATGGTTGTGTGGAAAGATTGATTCTCCTCCCCTTTCCCAACAAGACAATGGCCTAGGACAATTAAAAATGTCAAGCTAAACCATTCATGTTAAAATGTCAAATGCTAAATAAAAGTCATGCCTTACAGATCGTGGTACCCACCTTTAATCCCAGCACTTGAGAGGCAGAGGCAGCCTCTGAATTTGAGGCCATCCTGGATCTACACAGTGATCTCAAAAAAACAAAAACAAAAACAAAAAGCACTATAGTAAACTGGGTGTAGTGGTGATGCCTTTAATCCCAGCACTCAGGAGGCAGAAGCAGGCAGATCTCTGTGAGACTGAAGCCAGTCTGGTCTACTTAGCAAGTTCCAAGCCAGCTGGGGCTACAGGAAGACCCTGTTTCAGAAAACAAAAACAAGAGCTTCTTAATAATGAGGCTGGGGAGATGGCTCAGTGGTTAGGAGCACATCAGTTCCCAACACCCACATAAAGGTGACTCATAGCAGGGGGGTTCAATGCCTCTGGCCTCAGGGGCACTTGCACTCGTGCGCATAACCCACACAATTTAAAATATTTTAAAATACAAATAAAGCATATAGTAATAAGAGTTTGAATGGAGGTACCCTTCATGGGTGAATCTGCTGATCCCAGAAGCAGATGGCCTATCAAACAAAAATCTTAGTGCCAAGTCTGGGATACCTTCCTATAAGTTGATGCACCCACACCTACATGTGCACCCACACACATGCAAGCACAGTGCACTCACATCACACACGTATACATACACAATAAACAACAACCTGGCAGGCTGGATTTAAGAATAGGATTCATCATTCATTGCCCACAATAAATGTACCCCTGGCAAAGGCAAACACTAGCATAGGGTAAAAGAATGGAGAAAGGTAAATCAAGCACTTGTAACTCCCAAGTATGTGCCATTATACTAATAGCTGACAAAGTAATTTCAAATAAAAATTAGAAGCAATGAAGGAGGCTGCTTTATGTGACTCAGTTGATAGTGTTTTCCTAACTTGCATGAAGTCCTGGGGTTGATCCCCAATACCACATAAAACTGGGTATGGTGGCACATGCCTGTAATTTCAGCACTTGGAGTAGAAGCGAAAGGATCAGAAGTTTCAAGTCATCAAGCCATGAGACCCTGCCTCAAAACAAACTAAAATACAATAAAGGATATTATAGTTTTAAACGCTGTACAAGGGGCTGGAGAGATGAATGACTGAGTGACTAAGAGCATGGGCTGCTGGGGCTGGAGAGATGGCTCAGCAGTTAAGAGCACTGACTGCTCTTGCAGAGGACCCAGGTTTGAGTCCCAGCACCCACATGGTGGCTACAAACCGTCCTTTACTCCAATTCCAGGGCAATCTGAAGCCCTCTTCTGACCCCTGCAGCATTGCACAACATGGGTGCATGCACATACCTGCAGGCAATACACTCATACACATAAAATAAAAATAATAAATATTTTAAAAAACACTGGCTGCTCTTGCAGCAGACCTGGGTTCGATTCCTAGCATCCACATGGCGACTCACAACTGTCTGTACCTCCAGCTCCAGGGGATCTGACACCCTCGTCTGACGTAGGCATTGCCTGACACAGATATACTTGCACATATGCAGGCAGTACACATGCACATAAAAAAATTTAAAATTTTTTAAAATTAAACACTGCAATGAAAATATGCCAGTAAAATTATTAAAAGGAAGAAAAATAAGGTTTTGGGAGAAATCACTTAGATTAACCAATATAGAAATTTTTTACAATGGAAAGTTACAATTTGTGTTTAAGTCCATGGAGTCTGATCACCTGATTTTCTCAGCCCTGGGATTTAAAGCAACAGATAGTAATTTGAATTGCAGTGGGAGATGTTGGCTCTTATACACCAAAGAAGCATTAAGCATGACAATAGGGGCTGTGGGCTCTTCAGTATAAACACTCTGGACACTTGGCATTCACATATGTGGAAGGAAGGTCTGTCAACATGGTGCATTGGGCTCCCAATCAACATTGTGATTTCATGTTACTTAGTGG